GCGCACGCACACGCGCGCACACGCATGATGGCAGCCTTGCAGCCCTTGGCTCTGCGGGGAGGGCCTGCTGGTGGCACTGCACCAAGCATGCCGTGCCAGTCATGCCCGTGAGACCAGAATGGGGGCGGGGGAGAGACTGGTGCTCCGGGGCAGCCCGGAGAGACCCCAGCCAGGGCGCTAGTGTGCACAGCAGACTGAAGCTGTATTTGCACACGTCCTTCAACTCACAGCGGCGCAAGGGCCCAGAACACAACTCTCTCTTCCTGCCACCTTTCCCCGTACGCCGTGTGCAGCCCCGGAGAGGGACTTGGGGGGCAGGGCACAGCATGTGCCCCCCGATGCTCAGAGGCCCGGCTGCCTCAGGAGAGGACCCCTGCAAGGAACCGCCACCCCGGCCAGAGCTGCAGCCGTCCCCAGGGAAGCCCTGTGACCAGGGTGTTCGCTCACGCCAGGCGAGGCTCAAGGACAGAGGCTCCTGTGGCGGAGGGAGGGTGGCCGTGCCCGGCCCTGTGCACTCCCTGGCCTGGTCTCGAGGCTGCAGAGGCCGCCAAGTCTGAGGAAAGCTTCACCTGGCAGCCCCGAGAGCCACACGGCAGCACGGAGCACCGACCAACTGCTCTGCAAGCTCGTCCCTCCCGCAGAGGAAGTCTCCGTCCCCTGCGAAAACATCTGGGGCTTCTTTTAGGACTAAAAATCACTGATTTTACATCTGAGTCACAGTTATTCTAAAGGGCGGTTTTGAATGTCCCGCGTCAGAAAGGACGCATTCCTGGTGGCCATTGAGGGGTTCCCGCGGGGGACTCACCAGTCTCCAGAGGTTCTGGGAGGGCATGGAGATGTTGTAGTCGACGTAGCAGGAGACCTCCTGCGAGTGGGGGCTCAGGGGCGCAGCCACGTCGTGCCTGGAAAACCAAACAGTCCTGTGGAGGGAGCTCCTCACCCTGCCGATCACTACGCCGTGAAGGGAAGAAAACCACTCTCAGAAACAAAGCTGGCGCAGTCTGCAGGAGCACCCGGGCCCCGAGGCGGTGCCAGCTGAGGGCGTGCGGATAAACGAGACACTCAACGGCAGCCGCTCCCCAGGGATCACACCTCTGGGGAAAAGTCACGTGATGTGGGGTCTGACGGCCGGCACTCCACGCCGTGTGGGCATCGCCACTCCGCCACGGACGGCAAAGCTGGTCTCAGGGAGGTGCTCGCTGTCCCAGGAGCAGGACGACGCACCCCGGGCCTTGGAAATGGTGGGACTAGGAATGCTGTCGGGGGACAAGGTGGCCCTCGGGGACGGTGACCTCAAACGTCCAGAAACACCCACCTCCCTCCTTCGAGTGGCTGTCACACTTTATCCTACTTTGTGCCGGGCGCTCCGGGGGAGCTGGAGACAGTCCTCACCCCAGAGAAGGCAGGCCTTCACATGCACGGACAAGAGTGCCAGGCTGTGGGACACTACCAATAAAACCAAGACAGCAGGGGGTGCCCGGGAAAGGCTTTGAGGAGGCAACATTTCAGCTGACACGTGACTACAGCGAGTGGGCCACGGGGGGGATGTGAGTCCAAAAACATTCCAGGCAGACGGAGCAGGTGTAAAGGCCCTAAGGACGCTGCACTTGGTTGTCTGGGGACAGCAGGGAGGCCAGGGGGACCGCAGTGAAGCTCACCAGGGGTCACCAGGGGCAGGATCCCAAGGGACTGGGGAAGTGGAGACATTATTCTGAGTGTGACGGCCACACGCTGGAGGGCTTCTGGCCAAGAAGCGAGACCAGGCCAGTAGACGGTGTGCGCTCACAGGGCGCTGCTGTGGGGGCGTGGGGGGCAGGAAGGCAGGAGGTCGGGGCACCAGCCCTACCAGCACAGGGATCAGGCCTGGACTGGGTCATGGCAGGAGCGGAAGGAAGAAAGAGAAGCAGCCAGGGTGGTGGCTGAGCAAACGGCTCTTTGCAGGGAGAAGCAGACCAGAGCCCAGGAGCCTGCAGTGTGGCTTTTGGGGGGGAAGTGGGGACTCGAGGCACAATTTGGGAGGCATGAGGAGCCACGAGATGACCCAAGAAGCTGGGTGGAGGTCGGAAGAGAGGAGGCCGGGCACATCAGTTTGCAGAGACTGCTGAGGTCAAGTCAGACAAGGGCCAAGCGCCGACACACACGGACCCTTCCAGACCCTACGTAGCCGGGATTTCAATCCTTCTTGAATTCACACGCACTTTAAGCCATTTAACTCTATGGAAGAGCCCACACTTCATTCTGTGTGGGAAGCCCTCCCTAACTTGTCTTTCAAAGCTCCCCCGCCACGACCTCCCGCTGCGGGGTCCGGGGCGGCCCCGGGGTTGCGGGCTACCCCGCGAAGGCTCCATTTCCCTCCCGCCCCTCCCTGCGCTGCCGTCACTGGGGGGACCCTCCCAACACCGAGCGCAGGCTACAGCGCGGTGCGGGTCCACTCCGAGGGAGCCAGAGCCAGCCGTGGGGACAGGGGGCGGGCTTTGCTCGGGACAGAGAACCCCCGGTGGACACTCAACGGATCTTGTCATCTCTGTGTATGAAACAGAGGGTCTTGGGGAGCAGAGGGCCCGGGCTCCCGAGAGGAGCGGAGAGGGCCGAGGGCGGGCACTCACGTGTTGAGGAAGCGGGTGGTCATGCCGTGCACCAGCTGCACCACGTCCCCGTGCCGCACGGGCCTCGGGGGGTTACTCACCACCAGCTGATGCCTGCGGAGACAGAGAGCCGGCCGGCTGGACACGGGGCCTCCCGGGTCCACGCATGCGCACCGAGGGCCCGCAGGGTGGTGGCGAGCGTGGGGGAGCAGCCAGACCCGGGCTGCCGCCTTATGCGGCCGCACAATTGCCAAACCCAGCAGCCACCCGCGGTTGTGACACGACGGGTACAGGGAAGCTGACACGCCCGGGACGGGAGGGCAGCGGCCAAGGCAGCCTCCCACAGGAGCTGACATTCGGGTTTTAAGAAGGAGCCAGCTGGGGCGCCTGGGTGGCTCAGTTGGTTGGGCGACTGCCTTCGGCTCAGGTCATGATCCTGGAGTCCCGGGATCGAGTCCCACATCGGGCTCCCT